GGGAGTTGAAGTCCATGAGTCATAAAAGAGCCGAGGTTGCCTACCCCTGGTTTAGATGATTGAGTTGCAGTAGGAGCCCAATTGGAGAGGAGACAGAGAGCCCCAAAGTTTAACAGAAAAGTCAGATGAATGAAACGGGGGTAAATAAATTTACCTGGCCAGCTTAGGAAAAGGGCGTAGGGCAGATATTTTCAAGGAATACTTTCCCTTTTTAGTATATTTAACCAGTTATTTTGTGGGTGACTTGACTCTCCTGGCCCACATACAAATGGGACTGCTTAGTTATATGTTCTCCGTTTCTCTCTCCTTCCACCAAGGCCAAGGGAAACCAAGGCCCAACTTCAATGAGTCTGTTGGGAAAGCACCGTCTCCAAGGGATGACCCCCAATTTATTAAACCTAATGTGTCTTAAAGGGCCTGGAAGGCTTGATTGGAGACTATCCGAGGAGTGCCACATTTCTATCCAAAGTCAGTATTTAGGGTTCCCAGTATTTAGGGTTCCCAGTTACAACCAGGAGCAGAATAATGGATTAATTGAGCAATTTCACGGTTCAGTTAACCATGTCTGTCATCACACCAACCCAACCAACCGACAGTTCAAAAAACACGTTTGGAAATCACTTCGCCTTTGGCCAGAATTGTTGCAGAGAGAAAGAGAAAGAAAGAAAGAAAGAAAGAAAGAAAGAAAGAAAGAAAGAAAGAAAGAAAGAAAGAAAGAAAAGAAGCATCTTCCGTGAATCAAGAGGCAGGTTTATTAATTTATTTAATTGAGTTTCTAGCTCAATTCTAGTTTTGTTCTAGGGAACAAAACTATCTTCCTTCCCCCCTCCCTCCCAAAGTCTGTAGTACAAAACAGCCTCCCCGACCCCGTTAGACTTGTTCTTCTTTTTTTTCTTTTTTCTTTTTACGGTGCATTGTATTAATTTAATGCAAGTTTCAGTACATTGCTGCGATGTCTAGATGAGGTGATTAAAAGGCGATTAACGCTCTATTGTTAAAGAAGCTTAAAGAATTGGAAATAAAAAGAGAAAGGTCAAAATGCTATCGGCGCTCTATTGTCTCGAACGCTTTTTGATAGAGGCGATTTACTTTCCCTAACAACCATACGCGATAAAGCTCACGCAAATCCAGCAACGAATTGTAAGAAGCGGCCAGTCTCTCGGGGTGCCCGGCGTCCCGTTCTTCTCAGCCTCAGCGCTTGCAAAGCCTCCGGAGCCTGCTTGCATTTGTAGACCGCTGATTACCCAGAGCCGCCGCTCGTTCGGCCCCGGGGCAGGGGGAGGGGGGGGAGGGGGAGGGCTTCGAGCTATTGACTTCAGAGCCGAGCTTCTCTCTTCGCGTGTTCTGTTATGCAGCCCGAGCCCTGCCCTCCCTTGGGGACATCTTCAGTCCGCGGATTCTAGAAGCGAGCGGCGAAACCCGTTTCGGGAATATTCCCCCTTTAGGAGCGAGGTTTCTCTTTCTCTCTCGGGCCGCCTTGGCGGTTCGCTCTGAAAAGCAAACTTCGTTGGGGCTGTTTCGAGTCTCCCAAGTCTGTCTTTCGAAGGGAATCGGAGGTCGCGGGAATGGGGAGAGGAGAAGGTGGGAGAGAGAGAGGAGAGAGGGCAGAGAGAGAGAGGAGAGAGGAGAGGAGAGGAGAGGAAAAGAGAGAGGGGGGAGAGAGGAGAGAGGAGAGGAAGAGAGAGAGGGAGAGAGGAGAGGAAGAGAGAGAGGAAAAGAGAGAGGAGGGGGGAGAGAGGAGAGAGAGAGGAGAGGAAGAGAGAGAGAGGAAGAGAGAGAAAAAGAGAGAGGAGGGGAGAGAGAGGAGAGAAAGAGAGAGGGAGAAAGGACAGGAGAGGAAGAGAGAGCCTCTCTCCTCTCTCCCTCTCTCTCCTTTTCTCTCTCCTCTCCTTCTCTCTCTCTCTCCCTCTCTCCTCTCTTTTTCTCTCTCCTCCCCTCTCTCTCCTCTCTTTCTCTCCCTCTTTCCTGTCCTCTCCTTCTCTCTCCCTTTCCCTCTCTCCCTCTCTCCTCTCCCAGAGAGAGGAGAGGAAGAGAGAGAGAGAGAGGGAGAGAGGAGAGAAAAAGAGAGAGGAGGGGAGAGAGAGGAGAGAAAGAACAGGAGAGGAAGAGAGAGAGAAAGGGAGAGAGGGAGAGAGGAGAGGGAGAGAGAGAGAGGGAGAGGGAGAGAGGAGAGAGGGAGAGAGAGGAAAAGAGAGAGGAGAGGAAGAGAGAGAGAGAGGAAGAGAGAGAGAGAGGGAGGGAGAGAGAGGAGAGGAAGAGAGAGAGGAGAGAGGAGAGGAAGAGAGAGAGAGAGAGAGATGGACGGTGCGGGCAAGGCTTTGCTTAATCAGAGCAAAAGCTTAATAAAATCTCTGCTTTGCAACAGCCCCCCCCCCAAAAAAACGCTGGCAGGCGGATGCCCGGGACTGGCAGCGCTCAGTGTGGAGCGCAAAGCCTCCTTGTTGTGACCGAAGGACGCAACACACCCCGGCGGCTTGAACAGAGCAAGGGCGAAACGGCCGAGAGGAGACCGGGAGGAGGGGGGAAGGGGGAAAAGTCCGGGCAGGAGGCGTGGCGGTGGGAGGAAGAGCTTCACCCCCCCGGCCGGTGCGCAGGGGAGCCCAGGCGCGGGCAAGGGGCGCGGGGGGGGCGGGGGGGGAGGGAGGGAGCGCCGGGCGTCTCCTAAGTTTTGAAACAGCAGCGCGTTCCTCGCTCCCCTTTTCCCTTTTCCCGAGCGCCTCCGAAGGACGTTCAGAGGAAGCCTTCCCCCCCCACCGCTATCTCCAAGGTCCGCAAAGGGTGGGTGGGTTGGGGATGATGGGACCTGGAACCCGAGACCCAGGGAGAGGTTAGTCCTTTAACCTGCCGGCGACTTTGGGATCTGATTGGCTGAAAGGGAAGGAAAAAAAAGAAACTATAAACGGGGGGCGGGGGGGGGGTGTTGGAAGACAACCCTTTACGAGCGACTCCGATTTCGGTTTTCAGGGCAAATCCCACAATTCCTGGTCCGTCCCCCCTTCCGAGCTTCCCCCCCCCTCCCTCTCTCCCTCCCCCCCCCTCCCGCTCCGAGTCTCCTTTGCACTTTCAGCAGCTCCGGCTGGGCGCGCTCCGTATGCAAATGAGGGGCCTTGGCCGGTCCCGCCCCTTCGCTCTAAGGGAGGGGCCGGCTCGGCTTCCGCGTCGCCTTCGCTTTCTTCTCGCTCCGCGTTTCCCCCACCCCACCGAAAAGGCAGGGCCAATAGGAGGCCGGGGCCCGGCTCCGTCCCACCCACCGCTGTTTATTGACACCTCTCCAAAGTTCTCTCTCTCTCTCTCCCTCTCTCTCTCTCTCTCCCACTCCCCCCCCCGCCGTCCACCCCTCCCCCCCCAATAACCAAAGGAGACGGGAGGCGGGGAGGGGGGGGCGATTGAAAATGTTTTATTACCTCTGAGTGGTTGTTTGGGATCTGTCAGAGGGAGGAGAGCCGCCGCGGAGGCAGAGACGAGCCTGGCCGGCCGCAAAGGAAACGGACGGAAAAGGTGAGCGGCGCCACTCCAAAAAAACAAAAAGGAAAAAAAACCAGAGAGAGAGAGCGCGGGAAAAGGAGAGAGCGGCGAGCCAAGCCGGGAAAGGAGAACCGGGATCTCCCCGAGAGCCGCAGAGGAGGCGCCCAGCCCGCCTGGCCTGCGTTTAGGAAGGAGGGGAGGGGAAAAGAAGACGGGGAAAAAAAGGGCAGCAATTCCTCTACATGTCCGAAGATCGGGAGGATTTTCTCTGCAGGCAACCCACAAAGCCTGAGGCCGGGCTGAAGGAAGAGGAGGCGGCGCTTTCTCCCTTGGGATCAGGCGATCGCCTCCGGAGGGAGCGCAGGAGGATCTCCCAGAGCCCGGCCAGGCTCTCTGCAGCCGCGGAGAAGGGAACCAGAGCCCGGCGGAGCCTCCTTCGTCCGGCTGCCGGCCGCGGCTCGGCGCCTTCGACGGGGCTGATTTCCGCGCTTCCCGCGCCTCCGAGTGGATGCCGTTTTCCTTCGCCGGGAGCCTGGCCCTGGTGTCCGTTTGCTCCCCTCACCGAGGGGCCGGGCAGGGAACGGGCTGGCCGAGCCGCCCTTCGTCCGGAAAGGAGCCGGAGACAAGCCCGAGAGAAGGAAGCCACAGGACGGACTTCGCTCTTCCCACCGTCGCTTAATTCCGCCGGCAGCTCTTCGCCCTCCGCCCGTCGCCGCCGGCAGCTCCTCCCAGAGACGGCTGGAAGTTCCGATCCCTCCACGAAAGTTTCCCGCCCCTCCGCTGCCCGCCTTCTATGAGGGTGGTGGTCAAAGTTTGGAGGAGTTTTCCCCCCCCCGCTTTATTATTATTATTTTTTTGGGGGGGATTATCCGGGAGCGGTGCCTCTTCCCCGGGATCACCAGAAGGGATCCCCTTCTTCGAAGGGAGCCCCTGAGCTCGGCTGTCCGGACAGCTCCCCGTCCGATCCAAGCCAGCCCCTCCCAGCCCCGACCCTCGCTCCTTCCGAACCGAGGGGCGCTTTCAGGGCATCCCTGAGCGGAGCCTTCCCGAAGTTCTCCCAGCGTCGCTCTTCCCACGTTCCTTGAACTCCTCGCTCCAGGCAGGCCTTTTTATCTTCCGACGACGCCTCTGCCCAGAAAAGGAGAAGCTGGGCGCGCTCCCTCTCTCTTTTTTTCCCCAAGCTTGGACAGGGTACATCACTTTCCCTTTCAATGCTGGCCTCTTGACTCCGGTTAGTCGCCCCCTCTCTCTGCTCCAGCAGCTCAGCCTCTTCCCCCCCCCCCCAATAGCAGAACAGGCTCCCCGCAATTGACTCCCACCCCACTTTCCTATATATCTCTTTCCCCCCCCCCACCCGTCCCCGGCCATCTCTGCCCTTTGGGGGGGGGCTCTTCCCTTCGCCCCTAGACACCGGGTCGGCGGGAGGCACCGGCTCCGCTTCTCCTCCCCGTCCAAAGAAGGCTCCTCCGCGGCTTCCGAAGAGGAGCAGCCCCGTCGGCGTCAGCGCCCTGCCCGGCCGTCCGTCCGACCTGGGGATGCTGGCGGTGGGGCCGATGGATGGCACCTCCCGGCCGAGCGCCTTCCTGCTCAGCAGCCCGCCGCTGGCCGCCCTGCACAGCATGGCCGAGATGAAGACGCCGCTCTACTCGGCCGCCGCCGCCGCTGCCTACCAGCTGCCACCGGCCGCCGCTGCCTCCGCCGCCAGCGGACCTTCCTCCCTCTCCTCCTCCTCCTCTTCCTCGGCTCCGTCCTCGTCGTCGTCTTCCTCCTCCTCGGCGTCCGCCTCGCCGTCCCCTCCGCTGGGCTCGCCCACGCCCGCCGGCCTGAAGCTCCACGTGGCGGGGGCTCTGTCGGCGCTGGGCTCGCCCCCGCAGCACCACTCGGCCGCCACCCCGCACGGCATCAACGACATCTTGAGCCGGCCGTCCATGCCGCTCCTCGCCGTCGCCTCCGCTTCCTCGTCTGCCTCCTCGTCGTCCGCCTCGCCGGCCGCCGGGCTCCTGGCGGGCCTGCCCCGCTTCAGCAGCCTCAGCCCGCCGCCGCCTCCTCCGCCGCCTCCGCCGCCGCCCCCGGGCCTCTACTTCAGCCCCAGCGCCGCCGCCGCCGCCGTGGCCGCCGTGGGGAGGTACCCCAAGCCTTTGGCCGAGCTGCCCGGCCGGACGCCCATCTTTTGGCCGGGGGTCATGCAGAGCCCTCCGTGGAGGGACGCCCGCCTCGCCTGCTCGCCCCGTAAGTATCGGCTCCTCCGTCTGGGAGCCCCAGCGCCGCCCTCCCTCCCTTCCTCCCGGGCCTCGAACCCGGACGGGAGAGGCGCAAGGGCCGCCGCCTCCTGGCCGGGGAAGCTGGCAGCCCCGAGAGGGCTCCGAGAGTCGCTTTAACCGGCTCTTCTTTCGCTCGGTTCTTGCCTGTTTCTACGCCTGGGCTATATAAGCGGCTCCTACTTAGGGTTGCCAGGTCTGCTTCCCAAAAATAGCGGACAAGCGGGGTGGTGGTGGTTAAGTAGTAAAAAAAGTAGAGCGTACAGCTTTAGATTACGTACCATTTCATCATAAAGCTTTTGAATAAAAAAAAAATGTCCACTATTTTGTGAAAAAAAAATAGTGAACATAATGTGAAAAAAAGCGGACTGTCCACTCAAATAGTGGACACCTGGCAACCCTAGCCGCTCCTTCCCCAGCCCAAGGCCGATATTCACGACTGCGCTGCCCCAATTCTGCTGGGAAGAAGGCAAATTCCGGGGTCCCGCTTTTGCAGTTGTCATTGGACAATGCCCCCCCCCACATACACATCTGTCCAGCTGTGCCTTCCCTACCAAACCCTTTCCTTGAGCCAGAGAAACTTACGTGGATAGGGAGGCAGCGAGGGTCTCTCTTCCCCCCCCCCTCCCCTGCCACCCTCTCCTTTCCCGAACCCAATAGAGGACTGGGGCCCTCCAGCTGTTTTGGACCACAACTCCCACAATTCCTGGCCCTGGGCTGTCCGGGGCTAAAGGGAGTTCCCTGCCCCACCGCTGGGGGGCACCCGCTTTGCACTCTCCCCGCCCTGGGCTACTTGCTGTTGCCGAGATGAAAGCGGGCCTGTCCGGGGAGCCCAGGCCGTACAATCCAGGGCTTTGACCTGTTGCCCTCTCCGGATGGGTTGCCTTATATTGAAGGCGGGGTTGGGTGGGGGGGGGTGTGTGAATGGGAGTTGTAGTCCCCGCCATCCTAAGGTGGGGAACAGGCTCTGCTTTGAAGCCCCTCGGTGTGCCCCAACTGCGCAGTGTGGCTAACCTCAGGAAAGAAAGAGGCACTCCGCGTCACGCATCCACACGTGACGGCAACTGGGGGGGACACGGCGCTGCAAAGAATCGCTTCCTTCAGAGGTCTTTGTAAAGTAGGGGCGCTGCAGCAACCGAAAAGCCCCCCTCGCATCGCCCCTTTTACTTTCCCCCCCCCCCACCTTGAACCGGACTCCTGGGGTTGATGCCTCTAGCACAGGGGTAGTCAACCTTGGCTCTTTTATGACTCGTGGACTTCAACTCCCAGAATTCCTGAGCCAGCTTAGCTGGCTCAGGAATTCTGGGAGTTGAAGTCCACGAGTCATAAAAGAGCCCAAGGTTGACTACCCCTGCGTCTAAGCAGCTCGTGGCCTTTGCAAGGGAGCTGCCCCCTCGATTCTTGCGGCTTCTTGGCCAACCCTTCCCCGGAGGAGGCCGGCCCAGCTCCCCTTCTCGCCTTAAGGCTCAGCCGGGCTTCTTTCCCCTCGGCCTAAAAGAGCGAGTCGAGCGCCACGAGAGAAAAAAAAAACAAAAATTAAGCGGCCCGTTCCTGTGGATTGGCTTGGCTCTCCTTTTTTCAGCCCCGAAAACAGACCCAGTGGGGGCGACGCCCTGAACCCGGCAGCCCGTCCCTTCCGCGGGAGACCCGCTCGGAAGCCAGCGCCTTTGAAACTGGTGGGGTTCCTTCTTGTGCGAACTTGGTTACGGGGGGGGGGGGGGCTTGCTAAGAAGGCCGCCGTGGCGCTTTTGTTCTCGCTTTAAAAAAAATAAAATCCTTTTCTTTGGGGGGAAGCAGTTGAGGGGGGAAAAAGAGAGACACCCCCACCCACCGGAATATCTTCTTTGCCCCCTTCGGGCGAAATAACTTTTAATACTAATTGAAATTTAGACATCTGTTTCAGTCGAGGTGCCCACTGTTAGCATTTGAAATAATGGGTCTAGTTCTTTGTTTAATAACATTTTCCCTCTTAAGGGAAAATGCCGGTCTTTAATGCAGAAAGACCATTATCTAGACTAGACCATTATTACTTTCCTTTCCTTTCCTTTCCTTTTCCTTTCCTTTCCCTTTCCTTTCCCCTTTCCCTTTCCTTTCCTTTCCTTTTCCCTTTCCTCTCCTTTCCTTTCCTTTTCCCTTTCCTTTCCTCTCCTCTCCTCTCCTCTCCTCTCCTTTCCTTTCCTCTCCTTTCCTCTCCTTTCCTCTCCTCTCCTCTCCTTTCTTTTCCTTCCCTTCCCTTCCCTTTCTCCTCCCTTCCTTGCTTCTCTGCCTTCGTTCGCTGCCTTATCTTCTTCATCTAGCTGTGTAATTATTTTTTTTAAAAAAAACCTCCAGCTTCTCAAACCCCAAATGTCAAAGAAAAAAAAAAAGAAACAAAAATCAGAAAGTTTCTGTAAGCACTTTTTCCAACTAACAATTCTTACGAACTTGTTACTCGCGGGAAAAAGTGTTTCCGGACACCTTCTGTTTTTTTTTTTGTTGTTGTTTTGTCTCCCCAAGTCGAGACTGGAGCGAACCGGCTCTGTTCCTGCAACGGAGGGAGGCCGAAACCCCGTCGCGGCCGAATTTTGCAAACGGCGCCGGTTGCTTCAGTTTCCGAGTGCTGAAATTTCCCTTTTCCCGTTGAGCAAACGGAGCGCTGGGCGGAACGGACGCTTTTCTTACCCTTGTTGCGAACCACCTCTCGGCTAGCTCCGAGCGTGTATATATGTATGTGTGTGTGTGTATATATATCTCCCCTCCTTCCGCCTGTGCCCTCAAGACATGGCTTTTCGTAGTTCGCCCTAACCGGATCCCCCCCTAAAATATCCCTAAAATTTCCCTAAAATATTAAAAAGATTATGTCCAATTAATTATATATAAAATTAAACCGAAAATTTATAAATAACATATCGAGACAAAAATAAATGGACATTCGGCGGGACTCAGGGAGCCCTCTTCCCGCCCCTATAAATTAAAGTAATAAATAAATATATATACCGAGTCCCTTACGTGGCCTCTTCCCCTTTCCTTTTTCACTTTTCCAACTCTAGACCAAGGCTCCATTCTGCTGGATAAAGACGGCAAACGGAAGCACACGAGGCCCACCTTCTCCGGCCAGCAGATCTTCGCTTTGGAAAAGACTTTTGAGCAAACCAAGTACTTAGCTGGGCCGGAGAGAGCGAGGCTCGCCTATTCGCTGGGAATGACGGAGAGCCAAGTCAAGGTGAGAGCGGCTGCGGGCAGGGAAGAGAGACGGCCCCGATCCAGGCGACGGCCCTCGTTCGCCCCGGGGAAGGGGAAGGGAGCTTAAGGTCGTTCACAGGCGGGGGCGATGGGCACCCCTTTAGAGTTTAGTCCTGGGCAAACAAAAAAACAAAAAAAACAAAACAAAAAAACCGGAATGGGAACCACGCTCTTCCCGGATCCGGTGGGTTGTGATCAAGAAAATTGAAAGTCCAGCTCAGGACTTCGTGTAATAATAATAATAATAATAATAATAATAATAATAATAATAATAATAATAATAGTAAAGTTGGAAGGGACCTTGAAGGTCATCTAGTCCAACCCCCTGCTCAGGCAGGAAACAAGACGCCTTAGGAAAGACAAAACAAGACGCCTTAGGAAAAATAGCAAGGTTCGTGGCAAAAACTGGTCTATTTGGCTCTTCCTGTTTCTAACTTGACGGCCTCGAAATTAAAGGGAAAGGGAATAAATATTTTCGCCTCTAAAAGAGTCCCAACACTCCACAAGCACATTGTTCCTTCTGCCCAGGTTTTAATCAACGGGGTTCAATCGTTGTTAAGAACGAAGGGCTGATAAATAGCTTTATGGGTCTGTGTCGATGAACTACTAGGACAAGTGGGTTCGAAAGAGCTGGTCTATTAATTAAAAGACTAAAAGACTGGTTACAGGAAGATTGGAGGCATTTACTAGCGAGTAAAGTCAGCCTAATTGTCAAGTAAAAAGGGTAGGAGATTAGAGCAGCTTTTTTTTTTTTTTTTTTTAAATCAAGATGCTAAAAATAAGTTCCAGAAAGGTATCTGGGTGTGTAAATAGGAGCTAGTTTGCATTTTGCAGCACTAATTAGGAGCAGGTGTGAATGAGTGGCCCTCAAATCCTGTGCACCCACATACCTAGGGCAATCCTAAGATCTAGGCCTTTTAAAAAGTTGAAAAGCTCCAGCATGGTGTTCATTTAAGTCCTCTAATTCCCTGACTGTATTCTGCTTTCTTTCTCTACTGGCCCCATTGAAGTCGACTCAGAACTGGAACAAGACAGGGAAGCCTAAATAACATTTGAGGCTGTATTTTAACTGATCGTTGGAGTGTCTGGAATGAAAAGTTCCCACTCTATTCCAAACACTCAGCCATAGCTTGGGTGGTCTCCATTATCTAGTCCCAAAGGTGCTTTTTAAGGAGGCAACTGGACTTTCTTGTTTTTCTTTGAAGATCTTTCACTTCTCATCCAAGAAGCTTCTTCAGCTCTGGCTGGATGGTGGGGAATGGAAGGTAGACAGGGAGACTTGATTGCTCCCATCCAGCTCCCAACCAAGATTTGAAGGGGACTCACTTCTGTATGAATGCTGTTGTCGTGTGAACTGGGGCAGTCAAGGCCAACTCTGCAACTTGTACATTAGAGTAGTGCATTTGGCAATGTGCTAGTGCATTCAAGACCTAACTCTTCTCATTGAGTTCATTACCTTAAGAATCTCAAGACATCTGTTACTTTTTGGTGTAAACCTGTTCATTCTTACACTCCTCTGGAGCTCCGGAGAAACGCACCCTGAAGACAAATTTATTGAATTCAGTAAAGCCTAAAGGTTGGTGAATTAAAATCCACCTGTGTTATAGCTGAGCAAGAAACCTCTACTTCCCTAAAGCTGAAGTCATAGTCATGATAAGCAGAATCATTTTAAGATGCCCTTGGAAATCTTTAATTCTCTTGCCTTCATTGTGTAGTGGGGAAAAAATATATCCCACACCTCAATGCACTTCAAGTTTTCTTATTATTTCAATTGTCCACCCATACTGTTGGGATTTCACAAAAGCAGAAGTAAAGCCAACTTTTCTGTACAATTATGGGCATGCATATCACACACACACACACACACTGCATAGCATACATAGCATGTCTGTCACGCAAATTCAGACATTTTTGGAAGAAAATTTCCTGTTGTACTTTATATATGTGGAAATAAATCTTATCAAACTCATTACAAATTTTATTTCTGGTGGGCATCTCCAGGACTAAAGTTTATCTTACATTGATTCCAGCCAAGAGCAAAAGTTAACTAATCATTCTTTTTCCCCACCCCGTTTATAATTCCTTTATAGGCCTGCATAAAAAAAAAATAGACTGTTATGGCTGCCCTCTTGTATATTTATCTGAATATAAGTGTTCAATACAATGGAATCGTTTCTGATCAGACCAATATAGATTTACACTGGAAAGCTGCGAATTAACTCAGTTTTTCATTTATTTGGAAGGAATCATTTAAAAAAAAAACCTTCTAGGTAGCTCTAGGAAATAGATGCAAATTTGAGGAAAATCAAACTTAACAAGTCCAGCTCTCCTTGTTGTTCATCTGTTGCTGCTGTTTTTTTTTTAAAAAAAATACCTCCGATCATATACTCATTTTTCAGATAGTGTTCAGAGAGTCAATCTTTCAGTACAATCTAACTCAGTGTAAAAGTGCAACTGGGGTTGTTTGGATTAGGTACTTCTGCTTGTGGGTATTTTCGTTTTGCACGTGGGAATTCGGGAGAGCTTTGTAACTGTTTGAACAAGAGGAATCTTTTCTCTGGGTGAGAAGAGTTAAATGAAGCATAAAGGTCGATCTGATGTGTTGCTCAGTTCCTTGAATTGTTTGATTTCAGCATAAAATGAAATTTTGTCCGATGGAGCAACTGGGAATGTTATAATAGCAAATCTTTCCTTTCCTTTCCTTTCCTTTCTTTTCCTTTCCCAACAACAGAAAATTCTTTAGACATCCGATGAAACCAATGAATCTTGCCATTTATTTCTGAGTATTCAAATGGATGGGGGTGGTGGTGGAGGGAAAACCTCCCTTTTACAAATTGTCACTTTATTTCAAAAGTTATCCAGAGACCCTCATTTGTCACTGTAAATATGTGGGAAAGGCTTGGAATAAATGACTGCCTTTCCCACTAATATGCCCCACCATTTAGTGCAGTGTGTTTGAGGAGGGGAGGGGGTTATTTTTTAAAAAAAGGGTGCATTGTGAATCAGATGTTAATTTGAACAGAGCAGCCTGGCCCAGAATGGGAAATGAAGGATTCATATGTGTTTTGTTTTCTAAGCCACCAAGTGGAAAACCGCTACACTTTTTGTTAGGAGAAGCAGTATTTACTCTGAGTAAGTCCCTTTGCAGTGAAGGAGATTCACCATGGAGCAAGAAACTTTAGGTTTGTGTTTCTTGTTCAACGCCTTTCATCTCATCTCAAACCAGCCCAGAAAAAGTTTGGCACTGAGGTCATTTATGCTGCCTTGATTTCAACACAAATTAAGTGCAGTCAGCCCCAATTTGATGATAATCATTTTTTATAATCTTCAGGAGTGAATTTGGCTCTCCTCCACTGTCTGTAGGAAGTTTTTGTCTTTCAACAATAAGATTGGTTTCTGTATTTATCTTTGTCCTGCGGTATAAGAATACATTGGGTGGCTTGTAATAATACATGAAAAAAATGACAACAAATTAAACCAAAAAAGGACATGTAAAAATAAAATGCAAAAACACAACGTATCTATTGGAAACAAAGCCTCATTATATCTATATGGTTTTCTGCCCCAGATTAATTCTCCAGTTCTATGTGTATCTATATGGTTTTCTGCCCCAGATTAATTCTCCAGTTCTATGTATTTCTTCCTGACAGTAAATAGCTTTTCCTTCCATTGGGTTTCCTCCAGAGTAAACAGCATCGCCTCCAGCTTCAAGCAGCCTCAAAGTTTCACTAGACCCAGTTACATTTACTTGGATGCAGTTTATCATAAAATGAAAAACAAGGTCTAATCCCATGAATTATGTTAAACCATTACTTAACCCTGCTTAAAGCAGAAAAAAGCAAATTGCAACAAAGCATGTTATGGTTTAGCATGGAGTGTGAATGCAACCAGTATAGTGTGCAAATGTATTCATCTAATTTCGAAGGCGCGTTAAGGGCAAAAAAAAAGGAGAGTAGCAACTTGTTTGTTTCCACCCCGTTCTGCTTGTGTAGTCTCCTCTCCAGCCATCTGGCACTTTTGACTTACAAAAGTAGGCTTCCACTTTCAATGGACTCAGAGGTGAGGAAGCGAGAATAAATGAATGAGGATGCATCTTAGAGATCAGGGAAGGAAAGCGCGAGAAAAAGAGGGGGAAAAAAAACAACACCAAATCAGAGGCATGGAAGAGAGCAGGAAAGGGAGAAAGAAGAAAGGAAGAAATGACAGGTTGCAGGAAGGAGAAAAGGAAGGAATCTAAAGGCGAACCAGTTCAGCAGTGTGTGCAAAAAGTTAATTGAGTCTGTTTGGGCTGCTGTTGTCGCCCATTCTCCAAACAGTGGGGCTGCTTTAATTTCCATAACTATATTGGGGTTAATAATGCGAGACTTTTTTTGTATGCCTGCACAGAAGGAAGATTCACTCAGCCTCCTGGGGCCTTTTGATTTTGAAGCATGCCCTCTCCCACACTTCACTTTTCCCTGCAAAGAAAATGCGATTTGATTCCTCCCCCCCCCATGTCAATAGCACTGTAAGTTGAATTGTAGGATGAAACCCAAAGCACCAAAATAATTCTAAATTTTCTTTTCGCTGGTGAGTTTTACTCCTTCTCACGGGGAAGGACGGATCTCTTGAGTCATACTCTGGATGGTCCCTTCCCTGTAGAAACCCAAAGCAAATGCTCTTTTCTCTCTTTTCTCCAACGGCTGCAGCCTTTAGCAACATCTGCAGGATTATAACACTGACTCACGCAATCTTGTTAAGGGGACAAAATGCCAGGAAGCGAAGCCCAGATACAAGGGTGGGAAAACGATTGCATTTGTGAAAGGCAATTTCATCTGTATCTGCCTGCTTTCACTGCTGGGTTCCAGGCAGGCAAGGTTCAGCTACTACCCAATCCTTACGGCAGTGAGTACCCAACCAAATGCTCCCTATCTGGGTTGGCATGCCCTTCTCCTATTGTGTGTGGATGATGGGCATTGTAATGAACCCATTTGAAAGACGCATGGGCAAGAAAGGGCTGTTTGGCAGCATGGACCAATAAGAGGTGGCCTCAACTGTCTGAAGTTCTGGTGGGTGAAGTATTTGGGAAAAACGGAGGTAGCAAGTCAGCAGGTCGCAGGGAATGAATGTAAGAAAATGTGGTTAAGCCCAGGTAAAGTTTTATTCTGTGTGCTTTTATACACAGATCCTTTTAGCTTGATAAGTTCTTCTTCAGCAAATATACTTAGGGTCACAACCAGGCCCTGCAGGTTGGGTATGAGATAATTTAGCCCTGTAATTCATTCTTTACTTGAGCATTAGCCTGGCTGAACACAGAAGGGAATGACTCTGCTTAGGTGGGTGATCGCCAAGTCAGATGTGCCTACTTAGTGATGGTGGGGGATGGTTCAAAAGCAGGAAATGGTTTGAAGAAAAATAATAATAATTGATTCCAGGCACAATATCTAGATGTGCTTTCTGGATTGCTGAGTGAATTTAGTAGTGGAATCTTACAATATCTGGGGCCTCGGTCACCAAAGCTTTGTGATGGTAGTTAAGATGCTCCCACAGAAGACAATAGTGGTTGAGACAATTGTTAATATGAAGAGCAATTATATGCAACTAGTTTTAAGTGAATCTCTAGTGATAATACAGTAGCTTCTGCTGCTATGCTCCTATTAATGGCTCATTTGCATTTTGATAGTTGATAGACTAGCATGATTGAAATCCAGCTGACAAATATGAATGGTTAATTGCACCCATATACCCAATTACTTGGGAGTAGGCACTTTTGAGGATAATGGGCTTACTACATTCACTGCTTTGAACCATAGCAATAAGAATAGTCAATTAAATAGGGGATGTAAAAATAATTTTGGTGCATATAAATAATCCTACATGATGGGCTGATTTAACAGCAACCTGTAGCATTAAAAGAGTGGAAATCATAGTGTTCAATTGAATTCCTTTGGAAGTAGCAAGCTCCATTGTTTTAATAGGACTTTTGAGATTTTGGAGATAAGTAGTATGTAATCGATGGATAGATTATCTAATTCCAGGTTGATGGTGCACCCCTGGAAGACCTATCCTTGGGACAGATCATCCTGGAGATAGTCTATCTAATTGGTTGCTAAGAGCTGACACCAACTTGATTATATATAAACAATTGTATATAAACAATCTAGTCTCTAATCAACTTAACTGATCTCAAAATACTAAAAAAAATATTTCTGGATGATATTTGAATGGAAGACCACCAGGAAATTCTCATGGCTGTAAACTACACTGGAATCTGGAAAAAAAACCTTTCATATCATTGTCAAGAAACATATGAACATTTTTGGGCTTGACTTTATTTTTATTGGCCCCAGAGAAAGTGAAAAAATCATCAGAATGTATATAACCTTGGAGATGAGCATATCAATGGACCATTGAAATGGCACTGTGCAGCCAGGTAAACCTTAAGGACACCAAAATAATGGCAGTTATGAGGTATCATCACATAGATGCCATTGAATGCATGAGGCATGACACTTGATTCCAGGACATAAATTAGCATTCACATAACACTGAGAAAAAAAAAAGATGCAGGAGTATATTGTCTATGCATGAAATAAACTTTTGCTGGATTGGAGAAACACAATTAAAATTGCAGAGTCAAATGCAGAATAACTGCTCTGGGGATATCTGTGATATACAATAGTGCCTACCGGTATATTACCATAGGAACGAACAACAGTTCCTTAATAGTAGTAATGCAGTATGGAATTTAGTGCAGAGCGCAAACGTGTAATAAGTCCTTTTGTGCCAGATGCACGTGAAAGTTGAGCATACTTTTCCCTTCTGTACTTTTCCACTAGTTTTTGCAGAGGGTGATGTTTGAAATGATAATGTCTACGTTTTTTAGCAGTGCTTGGAGAAAAACGCATCATGAATGTTATAAATGTAGGTGTAGTGAAAAAAAAAGATGTTGCAGCTACGTTTTCTTACATTCATTCCCTGCGACTTGCTACCTCCGTTTTCCCAAATACCTCACCCACCATAACTTCAGACAGTTGAGGCCATCTCTTATTGGTCCATGCTGCCAAACAGATCTTCAGAACTCCTTGGAAAATGAGATGGGTAGGGACCCCCTGAATCTCAGGGGAGAGGCTGTTCCCCAAAGCAGGCACGGCTATGGAAAGTTCCTAGATCCTCACAGATAACCGCATTTTAGAGAGGAGACATAGTTTGGACCTGTAATGGTATGTAGGAATGATCTTGGGAAAGAGAGAGGTACTGATAAAAGGCAGGGAGGTGAAGCCCATAGCTGCAAAATAAGCAGAGAGGGAAACTCAGAAAGAATCTTCCTTAAGGCAGGAAAGAGATGTGGTGGAAGAGTTGTACTTTCAGACTTGCAAGATTCTGTTAATAAATCCCTATAACAAAATAGAATTAACTCATGTTTCCCTACTTGGGAGGCTGACAGAACCCACCTTATCCAATCTACTGGGATAGGTAGATGTCCACAGAAGGAGGCAGTCCTAAAGATAACCCGGCCCTATGCCATGCATGCCAGCCCCTTGAACTGGCCCAGATTTTCAGTTGTGTCCTACACAGTCAGTATGTGTACCCAAAATGGAAGACATTTTCCAGGGTGTGTTTATGGAGAGATTCTAATTCCAGGGTCCCCTCAGTCCAAATTGGAGGAGTAGGCAGTACATACTTGCTTGCAAAGCAGTTACAGCAGTGTTTTTCAAACTTGGTAAGTGGCTGGGGAATTCTGGGAAGTGAAGTCCACACATCTTAAAAGTTGCCAAGTTGGAAAAACACAGAGTTATCACATTCTTGGGATAAGCTATGTGATTCCAGGAAAAGTTTGAGCACTTTAAGGAGTTGCAGACATGTAGTACATTTGGAGTCTGCAAACGTATGATCTGAGACCTGGTGCCTTCCTGGAGGATATGAAGACACCTTTTCAATGCATGTACACTAATTCATGATGCTATGATAATAATTTTGAAAATCAGGCTTTTTCTTTGAAGGGTGTGTGCATCAGTTTTATATACTAGCCTTCTTTTGAACCAAGTGTAGGCCCATGTAATTCCTTTGAAGAATGGGCTTGACTCTTTGGTAACTTCAAATAAATATCCATGTTTTCTGGAATAGAGATGGTAGCAGTTACTTTCAGGTTTTTTTCCTCCTTTACGATCTAGCCAACAGCTTTGCAATTTTCCAGCATTCTCCCATACCGCTCCAACCCCTCCTTTGTAGAGCCATTCCTGACTCCTGGCAACCGTCTAGAGAAGTCCCTGCAGTTTCTTTGGCAAGATTTGCCATTGTCTTCTTCCTGGGGCTGAGAAACAGAGACTGGCCCAAGGTCACCCAGCTGCTTTTATGCCTAAAGCAGGACTAGAACTCATGGTCTCCCAGTTTCTAGCCCGGTGCATTTAATCACTATACCAAACTGACTCTCTATCATAGTCAACTAGAAATAATTGTGTATTACTGATGTCTGGGTTTTTACATCAACCAGATTATGGTCTAGAATAAGACCATAATCCAACCAACCAGATTATGGTCTAGATTAGAGTTTTTCAAACTTGGCAACTTTTAAAATGTGTGGACTTCAACTCCCAGAATTCCCCCCACCCCAAATGCTGGCTGGGGGCTTCTGGAAGTTAAAAGTCCACCCATCTTGATTGAGGTTACCAGGTTTGAAAATCCCTGCTTCTTCTGGAAGGATGTGAAAAATGCCCACCTCTCCTCTCGGTTAGCACAGAGTGCGAATCCTCCCAAAGCGGAGAGGCTGTGCATCTCCTTGAAAACCCACCTTGTGGTAAATGGGCCTTGCGAATCCGAGAGGAGGAAGCGGCCGATCCGGATCCACTCCTCCGAACGGGCTAGCCGGGAGTCTAAGCGGGAGCTCTCGAGCGTAAAACGGGGCTCAGACAGCAGGCCCGCCGCCCGTCCGGCTCTCCTTCACCGGCCTTCCTCTCTTCTCTCCTCCTCCCAGGTCTGGTTCCAGAACCGGCGGACCAAGTGGCGGAAGAAGCACGCGGCCGAGATGGCGACCGCCAAGAAGAAGCAGGACTCGGAGACGGAGCGGCTGAAAGGCGCCTCGGAGAACGAGGACGAGGACGACGACTACAACCGGCCCCTGGACCCCAACTCGGACGACGAGAAGATCACGCAGCTGCTCAAGAAGCACAAGACGGGCGGGCCCAGCGCCGGCCTGCTGCTCCACGCCTCAGAGAACGAGGCCTCCTCCTAGGCGGCGCGGGGGAAAAAAACGCCGCGCGGCCGCCAAAAGACGAGCTGAGAGCCCCGCCGAGGCCGCGCTCCACAGACCCAGTTGCTTTTTCCGACCAGGGAAAGGAGGAGGAGGGCGGACGGGCGGCCCCTCAGAGCTGCTCCTGCCCGGGTGGGTTTCACGGGGAAGGTTGCGGCGGGGGAAGCCTCGACAGACAGGCCCGGGGCCCAGCGCCGCCCGGCCTTTCCCGCCAAAGGGACCCGCTACAAGCCCAGCTGCGGCAGAGGCGCCTCTTTATTGTAAATAGAAGCTTTTATTCGCGGACTTTATTCACACAGTGAATATTTAAACCTAATATCTTAACTCCCGGCTAGTTCGCAGCCGGAGCGTCGGCGGTCGGGAGATTCGCGCCGTTGAGTCGGCTTGTTTATCTCCGCCCGCCGCCTCCGCTCCTCAAGACTCTTCTCCTTCGGCTTTGATTGCGTGGAGTTTTGTGACTTTAAAGGCGCGGCGGCTTCTTTCTCGTAGTAGCTTCATGAGTTTTCGTCGCTAGCTTAACTCCCAACTTTCGACGCGGACGCGAGTGGTCTGCACTGGAGGGTGCGGGGGATTTAAATGTAATTGGTTTCCTTCAGCAAAACCTCTTTTTTTTTTTTTTTAAATTTTTCCCAGTGGGGAGAATGGACAAGCTAGAGACCAACGCAGAAAACTTTTCTGGGGCCGAAGAAGCAGAAGCAGCGGTCTGTGTAACCTGGACATTAAAGTTCTTGGTTGCCATTTCAAATTGGAATAAATGGGCCCCTGATCTTTCGTCGAGTGAAACCAGGGCAGTCAGCTCCTTCGAAACAGCTATTTAAAGATGAACACGTATAACCTAGATATTGTAGTTTAAAGCTCCTTTTAATTTTCTCTCCAGTTTCCGAGTCCTGCCAAATGATGCCCCCCCCCCCACACGTTTGCGGGTGGTGGTGCGAAATTCTAACTTTCTTGTGTTTTGCTTTGAAAAGCAGAAGTAAAGCGAGAAAAGAGGAAACCAAGCATTCGAGAAAATCTCTTTTGCAAATAATAATAAAATTGCAAGTAAACTTTATGGTTGGTTTTGAAATCCCGAATTCGCGGCTGTTCAATAGAATTTGAAATGTGGAATGTCGACTTTTTTTTTTTTTTTAAATGAACATGTACATTGCTTTTTTGCTTTTTTTTAAAGCTAATGTATTAGCGTTTTAACCTTTTATTAATTTATACGAAGACATTTCAGTTCGCAAAGTGAACAAAGACAGCCCTACCAAGACCAGATTAACTCAATGCACTTTGTTTTGTTTTAAAAGGATAAATCAATTTAAGTCAGTTATTTCACGTCTGTTGCCTGGAAAAAAACTAAGGGTGCAGAAAATGTCTCATCTGAGATGAAATAAAATTGGTCATAAATAAATCAATAAAAATCATTACAATTGATCAATTATTTCGGCTATTTTATATACCAAACATAGGCCGTTCTTTTGTTCTTTTGGTTTTTTCCCTAAGGCTAAAGCCCCCTAACAGAAAGCTTATAAAGAACATATAAAGTCTTTTAAAATCTCGTCCGCCTCGTTTTGATTTTATATATAGAATTACACATTCCTTTAAACACAGAATGAAAGACTTCTTGGTTCCTGTCTAGTTATTCGCAGTTTGCCGGGTGATTTCGGAAGAATGGATCCCTGAAAACGAACAGGGTTCTAGACTAGAGAAAGCGAGAAAGACAAGGAGGCAAAAGGTAAGAAAAACTGAGAAAGAAGAAAAGAACGATGAAAAAAAAAGGTTGCGAAGGAACAAAGATGGAGAGAAAAAAAAGGACGAGACGAATTAGGTCGCGTTCTCACGAGACGCGGAACCAAGACGCGAATAAAGCACCGAATAAAGACGCGAATAAAGCACCGAAGCCCAAATCGGCCAACAGCATGTTGGTCCCGCGGATTATTCCGACTTTCTTAGGGTGGTCCGTTCAGGTTTCCGTAAGCCCTGCGGACCCAGGCAATTGACTTGATTGGGTAAACTGGGGGGCACGTCTTCCGAAGTCAGCCAATGATATTTGAGAAAGACAGCGCCCGCCTCTGTTTCTAAGGTATAAGAACCTGTGTGTGAACTTGAGACTCGATTAAAAGCAAGCTTTTTAAGAATGGCGAGCCGTGGTGTATATTGTCCTCACTTCCTAACCTTTCAAGATAGTGGCTAAAAGCCCCATAAATTACAAGTGTTTCCTGTAGGCATCATGCAGTCTAATAATATCTTAAAACATCCCATTCCCTTAAAAAGAGCCTATTTTGTCTAATAATAAAAATCTATAGCTCCATGATGGTTTCCTGCTTTCAAGACGTAAATAATGCCCACAAGTTAGGTGTCTTCATTTGCCAGTTTGAGTGGATAGCTCAAATGGAGATGCCTTGCCCAGTGGCAGTCTACCATGAGTATCAGATGCTATTATGTGCAGTCATGCTGAAGAACCAAAGTATTAGTGTAGATGGAAAACACTCTAATCCGTGTGTTTGTTTCTGTCTTGTTCAGTTTCTGGACTAAAAGTGGCAAGAATAAACTGCCTTAGAAAAAGGGGATGTTTGGTTCACTGATCAGCTGAGCAAAATTAAGATTAAGTTAGGATTGTTGAAGCCAATTTAAAATATATTTATTTAAAAAAAAACCTCATGTATGTATGTGTATTTGCCTTCAACAAATGATATGCCATTTTAAAACTGTACTTCCTCACGCAGCCAAACAGAACTTTTTAACAACAAAATGTTAAACTAGATTTTTTTTTTTGCTTCCCTTTTTGAGGAATGCCAATGGCATTTGGGCATTATGATTGAATCCATCAATCAAGCATACACTTCCCAATAATGTGTGGGATCAGGATAGGGATGAACACGGGGAATAATTCAACAGTCTTCCAAGGTACAAAATCTGTAGTGGGACTCAGAGGCTGAATAAATCCTATTTAATAAACTGTTCTAAAAAGCCATTTCAGATGTTGTAATTTTGGGAAGAGATTGAAGATGATTTTTTTTACAAGCACGTTTGCTTTTCATGAGGCTGTAATTCCCAGAGTTGCTTGAAATAATGAACATTGGGGAGTTTATTGTCAAAATTCCTGCTTTAGACGTGCCCCAGAGGGGTTCCCGTTGTGTTTGTGTTGTTGTTTTATTATTAGCAAGCAGTTCCTGAATCCCAATATTCCAGACTGTGCCAAGTTTATTTTGGGTCTCTGAATCATCCAGTTTTCTGTGTGATCCAACACAGTTTAAATAGCAGTCTGTGGGGATTGCGATTCTTTTAATTTTGTACTCCAGTTTCTCTTGCTATAGCCATACAATTTGGAGTCATGTTCCTTCTTTAAAGAAACCAATTAGCAAACAACTATTTTACCATACTCCAAAAGAAAGCAGACCAGACAATATACTTTTACTTTTGTCTTGAAAATGTCACACATGAACAAATCCGTTCTTAGAGATTCTAAAATTCAGTTTAGCAATATGCCACTTTTCCCAGAATTCAGTGCTACCTACAAACTTTGAAACTATCCAGCAGTGTTTAAGCCCATTTAGTTAACATCCAGAAATTAAAAACCAGATTGTCAGCAAATTGGGAGAATAAAAGACTATTAACAAAAAAAAAATCCTCTGCCAAAGAAGCCAACAGTAAACAGCCTAAGCAAAGAACCTCTAACACCACTAACGCTGGTGTCTTTAGCCTTGGAAAAAGACAACTAAATCACAGCATTCTTCAAATACATAAAAGGAAGATACATAGAAGGTAGACTTATTCTTACTCATAAATCAATGCGTGGCATAGATTTAATGCCAATTAAATATTAAGAGAAGCTTCCTAATACTGTAGTCAAAAGCTGGAATCAGTAACTCGACACAGATGTAAATGTTCCCTCCATTCATATGTTCAAGCAGAAGCTAGACAGCCATTTCCCATGGATTCCTTACTTTGGGATTCCTGCAATGGACAGTGGGGTTGGATTGGATGACCTCACCATCCCTTTCCACTCTAAGATCCTGTGATTTGTGAAAAAGAGTTCATTAGACCTATTTTAAAGGGTGGTTTTCTTACTTCAAACCACACATAACAGTAAGATGTGACGTGTTCTCTTTTCCTATCTTCATAATATATCCGTGCTAAATTTCTGCCATTTTCAGAAGCTGTAGAAATGAAATGAGCGGAACAAACACACACTATGGGAAAGCAGGAGTGGGAATTTTAGGGCTGCCCAACTGTTGCAAAACTACAAATCCCAGCACACCCCCATTAGTAACCATGCTATTGGGGCAATTGGGTAGTTGTACTTTGGAGATTTCAGGAATATCTCAAGGCCTTACAGGTTTTGAAAGGATGTGTTCATACCAGATATATAAAGAGGTCACAGGTGGTCTTCAACCATTTGTTTAGTAACCATTCAAAGTTACAGCCGCATTGAAAAAAGTGACCTATGACTCTTTTTCACACTTACAACCATTGCAGCATCCCCATGGTCACATGATCATAATTCAGACTCTTGGCAATTGGGTCATATTTATGATGGTTGCAGTACCCTGGGGCAGTGGTGGAATTCAAATACCTGAACAACTGGTTTTCTTATTTGATGCAGGCCTGGGCCTCCGAGGCCTAGAATGGACTTCCAGAAGTGGCATCTACACACTTCCAGTGGGCTGTTCTAGGCCTGGGAGGCCGCCTCCAGGCCTCCGAGGCCTAAAACGGACTTCTGGAAGTGGCATCCACGCACTTCCAATGGGCTGTTCTAGGCCTGGGAGGCCTCCTCCAAGCCCCTGAGGCCTAGACTGGACTTCTGGAAGCCAGCTGGTTCTCCGAATGCAGCAAAATTTAGCTACCGATTCTATCGAACGGGTGCAAACCGGCTGAATACCACCACTGCCCTGGGGTCATGTGATTCCCTTTTGGAATCTTCTGACAAGCAAAGTCAATGGGAAAGCAAGATTCACTTAACAATCATGTTACTAACTGCAGGGATTCACTTAACAACT